TGAACTGGCTTGGGAGCATGCTAGAAGGTCACTCCCTGCTTGCTGCCCTGTAGTTTGTCTAAAGATATGTGGCAGGTATCTCTGAGATGCAAGGTCAAAAGTAGAACATCAAGCTCATGCACGGAACCATGGCTTCCTTCTTTAAGGAGACAGGCACAGTTCCTAGAAGTGCCTTCCTTAGAAGACAAACCATTTCTATAAATCACCAGATACTCACTGCAAAGGCTCTGCCACATGATTCCTAAACCATTCATGTGAGGGCTGGACCTCTACGTCCCCCCACTGGCCCTGTTGAAGGTGAATGTCGTCTGACAGCCACAGGCAGAAACGAAAAAAGAGCAAGTTTTAGGAATCGATAATCAAGGGCCTGGAGTAATACCAGTAGCCAGCCTATTACATTCAAATAGAAAAGCTTTTTTTCTCTCTCCCTGTTATGAGTTCACAAGATCTGGACTACTAAAATCTCCATCCATGTGACTTTGAAGGCCTTTTCTAAAAAGCTCTCTTATAAGACAGACCTTCAAAGCCAGTCAGGAGATTTTAAGAATTTAAGACAAGCTCAAAAGTGATTTCTAATGTAACACTGCTACAAACGATTGACAGAATATTCAATAAAACGCATACTCCAGTGGGACCTTAAATTTCAGCTTGTTCTGTGACCTTCCTTTGCCTTTGGCAAGTCGTGTGGTCAAGTCTTCTAGTGTGAAGGACCCCACGAAGCTGCTCCACAACAGCAAGTCACTACAGTGCTGCATGGTCTTTCTTTGTGTTGGAGATTACACATTTACATATTGTTCCTTATGCAATGCCTTTTCATTTCCTATTTATTAAAGGTTCACAGATTGTAGGAAACAGGAAATCATTAGTGTGGGCTGCAAGAACCCTAGGGAAGGAGTTAGAAGACATTAATTCTAACCTTGTGTTGGCCCCTAATTAGCTGGTGGCACAAACAGTTAAGCATGCTGGACTACCAATGGAAAGGTTGGTGGCTCCAACCCACCAGGAGGCACCTAGGAAGACAACTCTGTCCATCTGCTTCTGAAAGGTCTCAGCTTTGAAAACTGCATGAAGCAGTTCTACTCTGCACACATGGGGTGGCCATGGCAACTGGTTAAGGTGCATTTTCTAGGCATATATATTTCACAAACTGCAATCTTTTGGATTGAAGATTAGAGATAATTTTCTTAAAATTTTGTTTGGGTGTTGTATGTAATTGTTTGAAATAAACAGGGTTCAGGTGTAGAAATGCATTGTATTAAATTTGGATACTGGAATAGAAAAAATTTAACTGCTTTTCTAATTCTGGTTATGCACATGATCTACTTCATTATGCATACTGTTTATAGCATACAGAAATATACATACATTTATTTCTGATCTTTTTTTGTTTTGAAGTCTACATAGCCAATTTAGCACCAATATAGTAAAACAGTAAAGAAATAAAGTAATAAGTGCTTCTATTTTGTATGTGCCAGGCACAGTTGTAAGAGCTCTACTATATTAATTTATTGAACACTAGCAGCCACCCTGTGAGGTCCACACCAGTTGCCAGCGAGTTGATTCTGACTCATGACGACCCCATGTGTGTCAGAGCAGAACCTGATGTGTGTCAGGTGTTCAATAGTTAATTTTCCAGAAGTGGATCGCCAGGACTTTCTTCCAAGGTGCCACTGGGTGGATCTGAACCGCCAACATTTCAGTTAGCAACCCAGAGACTCCACACTGTGAGGCAGGTACTTTTATTACCTCCATTTTACAGATAGTAAAACTAAGGCATAGAGAGGTTAAGCACCACGACAAAGGTCACACAACTAGGCTGGGATCTGAACCCTGGCAGTTCCAGAGCCTGGGACTCTTAACCATTAGGCAAGACTGTCTCTCATATGCGTTACCGACGCTTACACAAAAGGTGTCACTTAAATGAACAAAAGATAAACAGGATGAGGCCCAGTAGAGAACTAGATTGTGAGCAAAAAAATATTTTAACAAAAATAGTGAATTGCAAATCTTGGTTGTGACAAAAAAAATACTGATGGAGTAATTTCATTAAAAATCTCCTCGCCAAGTTTGGGAAGGAAGTGTGGCAATTCCGTGAACTTAAACCCTTATTTTAGTCAATTGCACAGTCTAGAACTACTTACTTGATGTGAAACGAAGCCAAGCTACGCGGGGCCCGGCGTCCTGTGGCCTGGAAGAGGGGGCATGACCCAAGGAGTGTGGCTGGAGACTGATCCAGAAGCTCCATGCACCCCACACTTCGGGGGCAACTCGGAGTCCCAGTGGGGGCTGCCAGCTTCTGCGATTCGGTGGGCGAGAGGAGTCTAGCCTGCACCTAAGGCACCGGCCGGGGGTTGCGGGTGGGAGTAGGGGTCGAAAAAGAGCGGATTGGTCTCTGACGGATTCCGAAAAGGCAAGGAAGCGAGAAGAGATTTTCCCCTCTAGCGCTCTGCTCTTTCGGGCTTGAAACTGTGTATCCAAGTTTGTTTCACGACTCTGTCCACCGCCGGTGACGCGCGGGCAGAAGCGGCTCTCCGAGCTCCCAAGTCTGCGCTCCTCCGTCTAGGGTTCGCTCGGGCCAGGCCGCCCGCCAGCCCTCCTGCCGCGCGTTCGTACCCTCCACGCTGTTCTTCCAGGGTTTTCTACGTTGCTGGCAAGTCCCGACCGCTCGCGATCCGACCGCTCGCGACCCACCCACTCCCGGCGCGCGCCTCTGCCCCGGCCCCTCGCGCACTCACTCTCCCAGAGGCTGGGGGTGGCGCTTCCGACGGCTTCTCCCAGTCCCTCGCCGGTCCCGGTCCCAAGAGATTGGGGGAAGGGTGGGCGGGCCGCGCCCACAGACCCTAACGCTGCTCGCGTCTCGGGACGCCCCCGCTGCCCTGGTTCCTAGCCCGCCCACCTCCCCACAGGTCCCCTCCTGCCCCTTTCCCCACAGGCCGGGGGAAGGCGGGCAGCGCGCACAGACTCCCACGCCCACCTCGGTTCGGCACCGCCCGCGTCCCGCACCTTCTCCCTCTCTCTTTCGGTGCCCTGCTCTCCAGCTTCCTGAGCGCAGCTCCGAGAGTGTGAAGGAGTCTAGCGCCAGGTTTCTTCAAAAAGGAACCCTGCGGCGCCCGCACCTGAGCCGCCTAGGGGCGGGCGAAGGCTGGGGGCCAGCTCTCTCCATTCTGTCTGCAAAGGCGTAAAGGCTGAAGCCGATGAGACACGAGCCGTTCCTGGGGTCCGGGCGCCCTCTGCTCGGCGCGTCTCGCCCCTGCTCCTCCAAGTCGTCAGGTCTGTCACCCTCCTCCGGCGAGGAGCGGTTTTCTCTCCTTTCCCACCACGCTCCGCCCGCCCTCCCCTCGCGCCCCAGCCTTCTCCCCGTCCAGTGGGAACGACGGCGTCTCCAACCGCTTGGGTTTCCGAAAGAGGCTTCGGTCGGTGAATGTGCATTTTCGGTTTTAAGCGCAAAGCTCCCGCGTTCCCTCTCACTTACCCACCGTGGGCCATTGAGGTTGAACTGCGCCGACGCTCCCAGCGGACTCAGTGGAAACTGGTCACGGTGGCTCTATACCCCTCCAGACACGGACACACCCTCAGCCCACACCCCAAAATCCGCACTGACAAGCGGGGGCGCTGGGCGACCGGAGGGGCGCGGATCAGCACCCTGCTCCCTTCGCTGCGGCGGAGAGGGGCGGCGCGCGCCCGGCCGGCCGGGCCCGGAACCTTCCCAGGCCCGTGTTCTCCGTACCAGTCCCGGAAAGAGGAGAAGCGAGGTACTCACGCCGCCGCCGCAGTCAGCCCAGCCCGCGGGAGGGGACACTCCGGCCGGATCACCTCCGTCGGCCTTGCGCATGCGTCCGGAGCGCGCCTTAGTTTATTCTAATGCAGAATTCTGTCCTCGCAGCGCCGCCGACTCCTCTCCCAGCTTTCCCTTTTCTCCGGCTCACGGCCTCCTTCTCCCTCCCTTGGTCTGCCTCCTCTTTGCCCTCCACCTCCCACCCCCCCCGCCTGGCAATCCTAGGTCTCGTCTCCCACTGGCGGGGCGCGCTCGGCGGCGGCGGGGCTGGGGGACTCTCTACTGTGAGGGAACGCGCGCCTGACAGCGGCCCTCCTCCGACCCTGGGTCGGAAGCACCGAGAGTGTGGGCGCGGAGCCAGGCGAATGTCACCCACTGCCTCGGCGCGCGAGGGCCGAAGGGAGGATCGAGTGTGCGGGACTGCAAACTGGGGCTTGTGAATGCAGAAGGCCAAGGGCGGTGCGGATGCGAGGGGCGCAGTGCGGAGGGGGTGCTCGCTCCCCGGGAGAGTCCTGCCAGTGGACCGGATATTTTTAATTTCCAGGAAGGCAGCGCCTCTGGGGAGTAGGTCCCTCTCTTCGGAGTAATCTCTGACTCCAGACCCCTTCGAGACCCTCGACAGCCGCCCTTTCTCTTCGCTTCTCCAGGGACCCCGAGTCCAGGGGGAGAGAGCTACAAGAGGGTCGGGGGTGGCAGAGAAGCCTGCCGCCCAGCTCTGAGGGTCCGAAGCGCCGCGGGTCCCCGTAGCCCGCGGGTACCCTCGGGAGTGAGACACAGCCGCGCCCCGAGGCCGTGCACCCGAGCTCTGAAGGCCAGCCTGAAGGTGGAAGCTGACCTGACACAAAAATAACAGCACGTCATTTCCTCCCCTGCCTTGCAAGCCCGTGGCCGCCGCCCGGGGAGTGGGAGCGCAGGAAGGGCGGAGGCGCGTCCCAGGGGGCACGGAGGGCGGCTTGCGGAGAACGAGAGTTGGCGAAGCAGCTTTGGGCAGGGCGAGGGCTACAGCCCGCTTCGATTGACCCTGGGAGGAAAAGACCCAGGAAAAAGTTGCTTCCAGAGCCTTCCTGGGGAGGGGGCGGGGCCGGCCCCCTTTCCTCCTCGGCGCTGGGCCCTGCCCTCGGGATGGAGGGATGTCAGCCCGGGTTAGGAAGGAGCGGGAGAGGCGGCTCCCAGTCAGGCGGGGTAAGGTAGGGAGTGGGGGCGTGGTGGAGACCACCGAATTCACCGGCACTGGCGAGCTTTGCCGGGTGCGGGCGTCCTCTTCCCGGGGCTCTGCTACGCAGTGGGCAGGGGGGCCTGGGGATCGGCCGGGCAGTGCCAGCGCTGCCCCAAGCAGGAACGAGAGGCGGCCCGGCAGCTCCACGTGTCCCCGCGAGATCCCGGCAGCAGGCAAGGCTGGGAGCAGAGGGGAGAAGTCCAGACGCCGCTGGGGAGACTCTGGAGGGGGTCGCCGCAGACGGTGAGCGAAGAGCCCCGCGATGCCAGACAGCCAGCTAGAAAGGAGGCCAGGCAGCTTCGGGGCGGCGGGCGATCCTGGAAGCTGCGAAGGCAGAAGCGGGAAGGGCAGCAACCGGGAGGGAGAGAAAACCAGCACACCATTACTTTTGTGTCCAGCCACAGACTGAAGAACACTGGCGCTTAGATGGGCCTTTTACTTGGGGATGCAAGACAAGGCCGATGAAACCGTAAGGAAAGGCCTTTGGTTAGACTCTTTTGTGCCCCCCCGCCCCGGTTTTCTGACACAGTACGGTCCGTGGACCAGCTGCTCCGGTAACACCTGGGAGCTTGTAAGAAGTGTAGACTCTCAGGCTTCATCCCGACCTACTGAATCAGAATCTGGACATTAACATTACCAGGGGATTCGTATGCACTTTAAGTATGAGATGCACTATATAGACGAGAACGCTCACATCTCTTGGTTCTTTAAAATTTGGATGAGAATTTTTTAGTTCGCCTTTGCAACTCTTGCTCTCCCTCCCTCCTCTGATTCTCCTTCTTTCCTTCTGCGCTTTGCTGTCTGCCCTCTCCCTCCTCCCGAAGTGCCTCCTTGAAGAGGCATGGCGCTGGGCACTTGGCTCCACTGAGACAGGTGTCTAGGGCGACTTGGATAGGTGGCAGAAGGTGACTCAGGGAGCCGAGCCCCACCCCCGGCTGAGTGGAGAAAGAGACTAATTTGACTTTGACTGTGCTGGGTAAGGTGGGGAGAAGACCAGAACTCAATGTTGGGATCCGTACTTCAAGGGTACATCCTGCAGGCCTCTTTCCACACCCCGCGTGTCCATCTTATTCTCGGGAACATAGACTTTTCACCTTTCCACCTTCCACTTGTTTAGGAGACCCAAGCGGCGAGTGTGAGAGTAAAAACGTTCTCTTGCAGAGTGCAGGGAAGCATTAGTTTAGATGTCAGGAATCCAGGTTCTAGACTCAGCCTTGCAACTCCCTTGATGGCTAACCATGGGATAGTCTTTTTATTCTTTGTAAAGAGCTAGCGACTTGTAAGGCCAGCTGCCTTGCTCAGGCTCTGAGCTTTGAGAAGCTCTCAGGACTGTTTTTCCACTAACGTTTAGTGTAGATACAGACTGGACCCTAACTCAACCAAACCAAACACTCCGCTCAAGCAAAACAAAGGGACAATTTAATCTGCTTGCGAAAAGGAAGCGTGGTGGTTGCCAAGAAAAGTGAAGCCAGGGGCGGGGAGCAACAAGTAACAGTGGCAGAGCCGAGTGGCTCCGACGCGTAGCCGATCGCGCGGGCGGGGTACGCTGGGGGTGGGAGGGGACGCGGTGGCAGCTCTCCAGGGTCCTGACAGCAGGAGCGCCCGGGCGACCTAGGGGGCCCTGGCGCTGTTCCCCTGCTCCGCGGTCGCCAGGCCAGGCATGTTTTCTTTGGGTGGTGGAAGTCTTGTGGGAAGCACTGGTCGAGAGGGAGGGAGGAAAGCTAGCAACCCGTTCTGATTCATGAGGCCCTTTTTGGAATGCCGCCGAGAGCGTTGGCTGATTTGTCTTGGGTCGTTTGTATGAGCTTGGGGAGAGAGTTGGGCTCGGTTCGCATTTCCGAGTACGTTCACACAGTTTCTCTTCCCCTCGTTACTTTTTCTTGGAGAATAAAGTCGATCTCCCAGTGTTTTAATGCTCCCCATTCAGATGCTCCTCTCCCCTCCCGCGTTTTCGGGCGCAGATCTTTCATTTTAGGGGTTGGAGCCGGGAGCTAAGGAAGGTTCTGGAGAAGCGCCAACAGCTCACTCGAGGGGGGATGTGGGCCATTTGGAAAACGTTCAGAGCCTGCCTTGGCATCCAAAGGCAGAGCCGCCAAGCGTTAACCTCGCGGGGCGGGGGGAGGGCAGGGAACGTGCTTCTCTGTAAGGAGCTGGAGTGGGGCTCAGCCGGCGCCGAGCGCGCTCAGTCGCTGCCGGGCCGCTGGACTTGGGCCCTTGCTAGTTAGTTCCCGGGAGGGACCTGCTGGGGGCCGGAGGGGCCCTGCGTTAAACCTTGTTCCCGCGGTCTATAGCTTCAGCTTGACTAAGCCCCCTGCCCCCACGACCTTCCTGACCGGCCTTCACTCGGGCTTAGATCAAGCCATAAACGCTGAAAACGAGCGTCCGGAACACTCCTGAGTACGCGCGCCCAGCCCTGAGGACGCTAGAGAGGCCTTCTGTGGGTACCAGAATTTGATGTCTCCAGCTCCTGTTTCCAAATGGCTTTGTGAGGACGTGCGAACTTGTAACCTGATCCTTCTCTCTTCTCCCCTCACTCCAACCAGCTTCCCAAGTCCGTCGCACGCCCTTTCCCCGTCACGCTTCGTTAAGCATTTGCTTCGGTCTGGTGCTTCAGGACAGAGACTCTTGTGAGGGAAGTGGTGGAAATGTTCCGGCAGAATAAAAGTCCCAGATCCAACCCCAAAAAACAAACGTCTGACTTTAAGCTTCTCCAGAGATAGTCACCTTTTACCCTTTCCTAGGTTTTGTCTTCTCCGTCTCTCTTTTCTCTTTTCGCTAATTCTAGCTCTCATCCTGCTGCTTTGCAGCCTTGGCGTGGGACCGAGCGGTTTCTCTGACTGTTGGAGGTATGCAGCATGATAGGTGTGGGCTGTTGAAATTCATCCGTTTCCTTCGGCTTCCTGGCAAGGACAGAGCCACACAGTATCAGTGTAGCCACAAAAGCTCCATCAGAGAAAACATATCTGGGGAAAGGCCTTCAGCTACACCCAGCCCTGATCACTCTGGAGATCAGGCCTTCCTTTTAGCCCAGATTGTAGGTGACTGTCTGAGATTTCAAGAACATTAGCCACAAAATGGAATCATCATGGATTCCGTATTCCTGAAAGCTCTTCTCCTTAGGGATCCAGAAGATTTAAGGAAACAATTTGTTCTAATAGACTGTCAATTTGCCTAATCAAACATGCTGGTGATTAAACAGTGACCAGAATGTCTTTCTGCAGGCTATAAAATCACAACACCCCAAATCAATGTAAACAATGCCTCACCCACTTTCAAAAGCAAATTGAAGATTTTGATTCATGCCTAAATAATAACAGTTCTAAAGGACACATCCATAGCAGAATTAAACTGTTCCTTTACCAAAAATTTCTGAGAAGTTTTAGTATCAAAGCCAGTAAGAATGGAATTAGAAATTAGATTTCATTTTATAAAATGATCTATTTTGTCCTGACCTTTATTTTTAAAGTTGTATATTGCTGTAGTTTAGCCATATAATACATTTTTATTTTCTGTTATTTGGAGAAGTAGTTCTTTCACTTTAGATGTAAGAATGTAGCTGACAGTGACTGAAAACTCTGAAGGCAAATCGTTGCCTTCCCTAACCATAAATCACAGCCTGTAAAATGACAATAAATAAGCTAAATAAGTTGTGGATATGAGAGTAATAAATTAGTATTAATCTGAGGCTAATCAAACTATTAATTACATGTTCCTATTAAAGTTCATGTAGAATCTCAATGTTCCTAGTGAAAGTATAACTGTTAAAAAGAATATCGCTGCAGCTCATAATTATCCTTTGAAGGAATTCAGATAGTTCTGACATATCCATTCTTTTAATAACTTTTAAAATATTATTTATGCCTAGAGCTTATGTGGAGATGCCATAAAGAGATGTTGTATAATGGAGGCAGCAGTCCCTCGGTGGTGCAAACAGTTAACACATTTGGCTGCGAAACAAAAAGTTGGTGGTTCGAGTCCACCCAGAGGCACCTTGCAAGAATGCCTTGGTGATCTACTTTTGAAAAATCAGCCTTTGAAAACCCTAAAAAACACAGTTCTACTCGGACACACATGGGGTTGCCATGAGTCAGAATCCACATGATGGCAACTGGTTGTATAACCGAGGCAATGATAATGAGAAAGGTGGGGCTTTACCAGGCATGATGTCCTTCTCCAGGGACTGGTCTCTCCTGATAACATGTCCAAAGTACATGAGACGAAGTTTTGCCATCCTTGCTTCTAAGGAAAATTCTGGCTGTACTTCTCCTAAGACAGATTTATTTGTTCTTCTGGCGGTCCGTAGTATATTCAGTATTCTTCGCCAACACCATAATTCAAATGCATCAATTCTTTGAGCTTCCTTATTCATTGTCCAGCTTTTGCATGTATATGAGGTAATTGAAAATACCATGGCTTAGTTCAGGTGCACTTTAGTCCACAAAGTGACATCTTTCCTTTTTAACACTTTAAAGAGGTCTTTTGCAGCAAATTTGCCTAATGCAATACTTCCCTCTGATTTCTTGGGTCCAAGTAAAATGAAATCCTTGGGCATTGATAGTGGATCAAAGTAAATGAAATCCTTGACAATTTCAGTTTTTTTTCCGCTTATCATGATGCTGCTTATTGGTCCAGTTGTGAGGATTTTTGTTTTCCTTATGTTGAGGTGTAATCCATACTGAAGGCTGTAGCCTTTGATCTTCATCAGTAAGTGTTTCAAGTTCTTGTCACTTCCAGCAAGCAAGGTTGTGTCATCTGCATAACTCAGGTTGTTAATGAGTCTTCCTCCAATCCTGATGCCATGTTCTTCTTCATATAGTCCAGCTTCTCTAATTATTTGCTTAGAATATAGATTGAATAAGTAAGATGATAAATTACAACCTGACACACACCTTTCCTGATTTTAAACCACGAACTATCTCCTTACTCTGTTTGAACCACTGACTCTTGGTCTGTGTGCAGATTCCTCATGAACACAATTAAGTATTCTGGAATTCCCATTCTTTGCAATGTTATCCATAGTTTGTTATGATCCACACAGTCGAATGCCTTTGCATAGTCAATAAAACACAGGTAAACATCTTTCTGATAGTCTCTGCTTTCAGCCAAGATCCATCTAACACTAGCTGTGACATCCCTTGTTCCACGTCCTCTTCAGAATCTGGCTTGAATTTCTGGCAGTTTTCTGTTGATATACTGCTGCAACTGTTTTTGAATTATCTTCAGCAAAATTTTACTTGCGTGTGATATTAATGATATTGTTCGATAATTTCTGAATTCTGTTGGATCAGCTTTCTTTGGAATGGGCACAAATATGGATCTCTTCCAGTCGGTTGGCCAGGTAGCTGTG